TTGTCCATTGAAGTGAATGAAAACGTGGCTCACCATACCCAGGCACCAGTGTATAATTTTGATATAATATAACAGTGACCATGTAATCAACAGAGAGAGAGAGAGAGAGAATGTCAAAAAGGGGTTAAGAATTACCCGCAACCAAATTAGCTAATTCAACAGTGTTTAAAGCCAAACACCCGGGAATAGGGATAAGACTTAATTTTTGACAATCGCACAAGCATATTATTAGTTTTTGACCATTGTCGGGTATCAATTATGTAGTCCTATAACCCCAAACAAACACTTGCAAACCCAAAAAACCCAATTGGCAATGCGGTCAGTTTAAATTTGTATACCCAAAAAGACTCAAAATTTTCAACCCTAGTCACTAGATCCCCATAACCAATTCCAGTCACCACTACGAGGATATAAACATACAAACATATATACATACATATATAACATACACATAATCAAAGTGATAAGAAAGGAGGAGGAGAGTATACCAGTGCAGATCCAGTCGCCGATACGGGGGAGCCATTTAGAATCGGCGGGGGTTTTGGTGTCGACGAGAAGGCGGGGCTGCTTACATCTGTTGCAGAAGGACCTGAAGGCATAGTTGCGGTTCCTGCATCCACCGCACTCCCAATCCCCTTCTCTCCCTTCTCCTCCCATCTTCTCTGTAACTCTCTCTCTCTCTCTCTCTCTCTCTCTCTCTATATATATATATATATGTATATTAGCAGAAGTGGAGAAGAAGGAGAGCTTTGTTATTTGGTGTGTGCTCAAAATGGAGACATTTTTATGGGGAAGTTTGTTCTGGTAACGGGGAGAGAAGAGGCGGGCCGATAAACGGCGTGAGAGCGAGGGTTTCGAAGGCGATACGCAAATACGGAACCTATTCAACGCTTTTTACATCACCACTCCAACATACGGACGTCTTCGAAAAATATCTTCTTTTTTTAAATTAGACACTGGTCATTTTTCTTTTTTGAAAGGTGAAAATAATTTTTAATTTAATATTTATTTTTATTTTACTCATTTTATTTTATTTTTAAATGAAACCAGACAATACCTTTATTTGTCTGATTGTGGGTGGTGACTCAGACCACAATATGTGGATCTGATATTACATTTAATAATTTAGTTTTAAAAAATAATTAATTTAAATATGAATTTCAAAATTTAGATCTTGTTTGGGGACAAGTTTTTTTAGCCTCCGTTTGGGAACTTGGTTTGGGGCTAAAATAGCCACAAAAAACAAAATAGGCTATTTTAGCCACAAAAAACAAAACATCAAATCCAACCCATAATCATTACAATCCTCTCTCACAAAAAAAGCCAAAAAAGCCAAAAAGCCAAAAAGCCCTTCCCAAACCAAGCTAAAATAGCCCAGGCTAAAATAGCCAAAAAGCCAAAAAGCCAAAAAGCCAACCCACTTCCCAAACGGAGGCTTAGTAATTTTTTTTGTTTTTTAGTTAAAATGTGATGTAAAAAAAATTAGCCTCCGTTTGGGAAGTGGGTTGACTTTTTGGCTTTTTGGCTTTTTTGGCTATTTTAGCCTGGGCTAAAAAGTTTGGTTTGGGAAGGGCTTTTTGACTTTTTGACTTTTTTGACTTTTTTTGTGAGAGAAGAATGTAATGATTATGGGTTGGATGTGATGTTTTGTTTTTTGTGGCTAAAATAGCCTATTTTGTCTTTTGTGGCTAAAATAGCCAAAAAAGCCCCGTTTAGCTCTTGCCAAACGGAGGCTTAGTATGTTTGGAATAACTTTTTGACTTTTTACGAAAAGCTGTGACAAAAGTAGAGAGAAAAAAGAATCTTTAACTTTTTAGTATGAATTGTTGACTATTTAGTTTTTTTAATAATTTTTTGATTTTTTAACTAAAAGGAACACTTGCCAAACGAAGGCTTGTTATAAATTTGAATTAATGTAGCTATTAAATTTTCACACTTTGGGTTCTAATTCTACAAAAATCATAATAGAATATACTTTTCTATTTCTAATTTGTCCTCCATTATAATTTCTTTGTTCACCTATAACAATTTCTATCTTTCGTTAATCAATAGAAGAGTAAAAATATTATATCAAAGGCTTTATAAAATTTCAAGGGCAAATTACATATACTTCTCTCGAGATTTAACTAAATTACAAATATTCCCTTAAAATTTCAAAAATTACATCTCGTCCCCTGAAGTTTGTATTTTCATAACAATTTGCCTCTGAGGTTTATATTTCATAACAAATTACCCTCCTAATTTCTTATGCAAATATAACATTCAAGAAGAAATTTATAATTTTTCAAACCTCAAGAGGATATTTGTAATTTAACCAAACCTCAAAGAAGATATATGTAATTTGCCCTAAATTTCAAGTGCAACCTTGCATCCAAAAATAGTACTACATAACTACTAAGTCCAATGTGCTGGTTATCCATAACAACTTACTCTCCTACAATTTGTATAAAATTCATCTCCAAATTTTTTCATTTAAAATCTTATTGGATCATTATTTACTTAGTTATACAAAAGGAAGTCATTGATCCCATGTTCTTTCATTTCATGACGATCTTAATGTGCTGCAGATGTGGTTTTGTTTCCAAATTTTCACCCAAAAGCCATATAGATTGGAGTGTATAGTTTTAAAATAAATCTGAACTATTGAATTGTGTTATGGCTGATCAAAACATTCACCGCAACAGATGATCCAAATCCAAAATGTTAGATAGCTCATCACTGAAAAGTTAATTAGTAGGCAATGCATTCTAATTATCGTACACTAAACAATAAATGGTTATGAATGGCATTTTTACAGCTGGCAAAAATCCGAGAACAGAACTGTAAACCATTGATTGGTTCTTGAATTATTTTATACTATTTTCCAAGTTAATCCCAATAATTCATGGATCAAATGAAAATAGAATTACTTATATTTTTCTAGCTTCCTCAGTAATTCCAGATTAGCTTTGGAATAACCAAGATGTTCAAAACTGTATGTAACGCAAAAACATTTTGGTTATCTCTTAACACTGCATTGCTTTGAATTATGCATTAAAATTTATATATCAAAAAATTCACATGTTGTGAATCTCTCATTGACCTGCCTGCATGTTACACTGCAATTTTACACAGTATGCCATGTACAAAACGATTAGAGAGGCCTAGTTGAGTTTAACATAAACCAAAACAAGGTACAAAACACAGGAAGGGCAGTGAACTGCAATGTCAAGATGGAAATCCTACAGAAATTGACTGAAGTATTTAGCTACAATATTGGCCTCTGTTGCAAAAATCAAATATGGGTTAAGAAAACCTGCACAAAAGCTCCACGCATTCCTGGAGTAGTGTCCGATGCTGTTCACTGCAAATGCTCCTGCAAAAGGCATTCATCAAGATCAGGGAATCAGTTTCAATAAAAGTGATTGAATCCTGGTCGTACATTGCACACTAGTCTGGAGTGAATGTGACAATGAATGTAAATCAAACAAGGTTGAGAACTTTAATAAAAGTGCCGTAAGTTTACCTTTATCTTGTCAAATATGGCTGCAAGCATGGTAGTGTTGTATGCTACAGTCAGTGGACTTAAAAACACAATCCTTACTCCACAAAGAATTTAGATACACATAATTGATGTTAACAAGAAAACTTTGACATTCAATTGTTATTTTGAGCTTCCAAATGGGCAAATACAATTTATTTTGTAGAACATGGTCATTAAGGAAGAGAAAATATTATGATTCTACGCTTAAGTAATAAAACAGTACCCCACGAATCTAATTATTTTTGGTCAGTTATATGGCCACCAATACTGGAAATGGCTCATTCACATAGATCAATTGGTGCACCTTCATGACACACAGCATAATGAACCATTCAATTTCCACAAATTGCCCAAGCACAATGCAAACAAAATCTACATGGATTACTTATTTTCTTTTCTTTTCCAAAACAAGAAGATAAAGGTACTGTTGAATTCAATCTCATCTACGAGTCACAGTCCAACTGACCACCTTAAACTCTAGTTCTACTGTTCAGTCTAGAACCAGTCATGCAACCCTATCCTATCCAAGGATGGATCTAGAGGGGTATGGAGGGGGGCGACCACACCCCCAAAAATTTGAAAAATATCATATATTTATACTAGAAATTTTAAACTAATTTAAAATTATAAGAGTTTGCGCCCCAAAACATACTTTTGCACCCCCATGGTGATAATCCTGGATCCGTAATAATTCTCGGGGTGCAATCAAGCAGACATCATTACGCTAAGGCTTGTTGCTGCAAAGGATCCAAATCACCAAATCCAAAACCCTAACCATGGCAAGTGTAAAATCTCAAACCAATATTGGATCTTGACTTCCACAGCTTGCATACAGCCATATTTTTACACATTACTTTTTCATCGTAAATATCAAACGCCTAGAAAGATATGTATTATCATTCCATAATCAGAGTACAACCATTGAAATTCTACTCTCAAACCATACATAAAATGCAGAGATGCAACCATTTCTGACTAACAATAAACGTGGCACATGCAATTCTGATTCTGTGCAGCTCAAGAATAGCAAATAGAAACAAGTGACCATAACAAAAAGATTTGTAACTTCTTTTTTAAGTAATGATGCATTGAATATTACCAAACATAAAAGAAAAAAACTACTATTTTAACACTAACCTTAGCATCATGAAACACTAGGGAGCATGGCCTTCAACCAGTTCAATCGTTTCTCACATTTCAGTGACATGAATGTCTTTCTCCAGCATGGGCTCTGGAACAAATCCATTGCACCATTGTAAAGGCGTCGATCAACACCTTGCATTCCATTTATAACTGTAATACAGCGGCCTGCAGAATATAGGTCATCCTTCTGAGCAATTGCATCTTTGCTTGATGCAGAAACAGTTCCAGTTTCTGAAGTCGCATTTGCATTTGAATTTTCATCTCCCTTATGACTCCTCTTGTTGGGACCCAAACTTGATGGTTGTACCAACTGCCGTTTGTTGCATCCATCTGAAATATTAACATTCCCCCTTGGGTGCGAAGTATTGTTGTTGCGCGACATATAGCCGCCACCAAATGAGATTGCATATTTTCCTGTGGCCTTTGACTTTGTGAATATTGTACATAGCTCTTCGTATATTGGGCAACCCCATTTTCTGTATGGCTTGATCTCAGGATGTACCTACAAGTTTTTTATTTATTTACGAGGTATATTATACTAGCAAACGAGAACATTCAGAAGTAAGATGCACCTCAATATATTCTGCCCACACAAGATCATCAACGTCAACCATCTTCCGACGATAATCCCAACCAAAGCCACCATGGTTATAAAGTGGTTTCACAATGCGATAACGTTTACGCAATATAGCCAGGTGTTTCTTCAGCTGCATCTTATCATAATTCAAACCAGTCACCTGATTAAATTCTTTGCATACACGATCCCATGCATCATCTTTAAATCCACTTGGTATCACATCCAAATGGTATTTCATTTCATCAATCAGCAATTCTACAAATATCTTCTCTAGACGTGGTGGCCAATTCGGCATTGACCAAACAGCCTCTGATGGATCCTGACTTGGATGATTATCCATCTAATTTATGCAGGAACATAGCTATGTTAGACCTTTTATCAAACAAATTTAAACCAACATCCTTGATTTTGAAACCAAGCACCAATAGAGACCAATATGCAGGCCTTGTTTGGGAAGTTGGCTATTTTAGTAGGCTATTTTAGTTTTTAACTATTTTTGTAGGCTAAAATTTTTATATTTGGAAAGATTGTTGGATTTTTTTTAATTGAATGTGATGTTTGTGTGAAAAAAAAATAAAATGATTATGAGTTTGATGTGATATTTTGTCTTATTAATTATTTTAGCTTATTTTATCTTTTTGTAAATTTTAGCCCGAAATAGGCCAAGGCATATTTTGAAAAGATGGTAAAAAGTTACTTTCTAGTTTTTAACCAAACTTTTAGTTTTTTTAGACAAATAATTTAGAAAATTGGTAAAAAGTTGATTTTAACTTTTTTGATTAATATTTATTTATGATATCAAATCACAATAAAATGACTCAACTACTCCCATTCAATTTAAAATATTTACAATTTCACCTATGTAACACATTTTGACCCATGAGGGATAGAATTGTAATTTCACTAGTGCCTGAAAAACAACTTCCGAAATGTCTTTAAATACAAAAAAGTCAACTTTTGACTTTTACTACGAACCTAAAAAAGTGACTAAAAGCCAAGTTCCCAAAACATCCCTAAAATATCCCTTGCCAAACAAGGCCGCAGAAGCAAACAGAACATTTTCTGCACCTATTCACACAATGTTGCATCATGAAACACACACCAATACTGATATTAACAAGATAAATATGGATATTTCACCAACTCACACAATTCTTTGTTTGAGTAACCTAATTTATTTACACAGATTAAGATTTATTTCTGTAGTCAAAGCATCGAGACAATGTTAGGCAACTATAAGATCATCTTAGTAAAGCCATCGCCCGGGCATTGACTACCCCATGGGAGTACATATTCACAGTAGTAATTGGTTAACACGCATGTAACAGTGTGTGTGCAAGCCTATGTGTGAGAACGGAGTTGCAACCAATTTATCTCGACCAATAATTTGTAAATTTCTTGTGTTGCAACTCCAAGTCTTGAAAACAAAAACTAAATAAATAAAAGGAAAATTACCAGCAAAAAAAAAAAAAAAAACCAACAACCTCGTAACAAAATAAATCCTAATTTTTCAATTTTATCAATTAAATTCTTAAATCTTTTTATTTATTTTCAATTTAAATCATCCACTTTTTTTCATTAAGTAAACCTATCGAAAAAAAAGTATATTTTAGTCATTAAAATGTAAGTAATATGAAAAATTTCTTCCATTGAGTTTATTGACTAAAATTCATAATAGCTTAGATTAAAAACAAATTAAAAAGTTCTAGGTTAAATTAACAAAATCAGGGTTTAGATTGTTACAATGTTTAAAAAATCGGATTTTTTATTTTATTTTCCCAAAAATAACTTTAAAAAATGTAGGCTGTTGGCACAACAATTTCAGCTAGAACATTGTTGAAATCAATCACAAAATTCAGAAGCCAGAACTTTGGTCCTGGAAGGGTTTCACTTGAGTTGTTGAGTCAATCTTAATGAGAATTACAACAATTTCCTTACATAAACACGATCTTAGTTCGTGATTTGAAATATCGTTCTTCAACGGCCTTAGAACAATAGCCCTAAAAAAATAATTACTCATATAAACAAATTACATAAAAAACGATACAATTCGATGCAATGATATGAATATATGCATGTATTCATATGCAAAATGTATGACAAACCGTTTCTGGATCAGTGACGCCCTTGACTGACAACTTTCTTCGCTTCGTCGAAAGTGCGTGAGACATCTTCGGAGATGATAAATAGCAGAGAGAGAGGCACTGCAAAGTTTGGATGTTATTGACTATGAAAGGACACGAATTAAAACAACAGGCGGGAAGATTACGCGCCCAAAAAATAAAAGAAGTGGGAATACACCAGAAGATATGTAGTTATTTGGAAACCTGATTAAAAGTTGATTTTATTTTTTATTTTTTATTTTTTTTGTATAAAAAAATATGAGAAGTAATATGACTTAAAATGAATTAAAAGTTAAAAGTTAACTTTTAATTAGTGAGAGGGAGATTTTATGAGCTTGGGCCATGGTAAGAGCTGCGCAAGTTGAAGACCGAGCGCGTTTGGGCCAGGATATGTAACAACCCTCATTTTGACTTAGTCATACTTGCATACATTTATGGATGATCTTGTCTTAATATGTGCATTTGCGAATCTTGTCTTGTTTTGCTTAAATGATTGCTTGCATGCCTTGTTCTCGTCTGGTGCGTTGCCGAGGTCATCTTAAACCTAGACACCTTCGAGACCTTTGTCACTTAGAACTATCTTGGAACCCCGTTGGTTGACCTCCATCTTCACCCTAGCATATTGGCCGAGATGTCACCATCTAGGCCGAGGTGTGCGTCGCCTAGGCCGAGATGTGCATCATCTGGGCCGAGATGTTAGTATCTAGGCGTTCTAAATCCTTGATCCTGTGTGAGTGATTTTGTTCCTGGAATGGTATGACCTAGACCGAGGTATGGCACATCTAGGCCAAGGTGCGGCACAGCTTAGTCAAGTGTTGTCCTTCCAAGCCGATGTCATTGTTACCCTGCTTGCCGAAGCTTTGCCTTAGCCGAGATCATCACTTACCGGAGTCTTGTTGTTAGCCAATGTCGTTACTTGCCGGTGTGTTCTTGCAGCCTAGCTTGTCGAGTACACTTTGTCTTGGTCTTGTCTTGTCTTGTCATGTCAGTCACCTTTTTGGATAGTGCCAATCAGTCGATGCCACGTGTCCCGACAGAGGGATTAAGCTAGTGATTGTCGTGAGGAGCATATCTTTTTGTATCAATCTTGCCTTTTTGAGAGAGAAAGTCTAGGAAAAAGGAGAAGTTTGAGCTAGAGAGAGTGAACTTCCAAGCTTGATCGTTGGAGCTTGAGCCGTTAGATTCGAGTTTTGAGGTTAGAATCGTAACCTGTTCTTGTTGTTCTTATTGATCATCTAGCTGCATTGCACGATCAAACCTGTTCTGCACGCCATTCATCGATTTAAAGTTGGTTTTAGAAAGAAAAAACGGTTTTCATGTGTTGTTGAAGAAAAGTCTCGTTTGATCCGAAAGTTTGCATTAAAGCTCATGTTTTTGTGTTTGTTTTGATAAGATCCTTGAGTGTGGGTACCCAGGTCCATGTTTTTGAATTCATAGCATGAAGTCTCAGCTGTTGTAATAGCAAGTTTTGATCTTTGCATTCATCTTCCTCATGTTCATGTTCTTCAAGTTCTTCATTCTCATGTTCTTGATGTTTATCAAAAGGGAAACCCAGATTTTTCCCGACTTCGCTTTTGAATGTGGCCATCGAGGCTACACCTCGGCAAGGAGGTGTGGGACCTCGGCCTAGACCTGGTAGTTGCCCAGCATGTTTTTTTTCCAAGGATAAGAAATCGTGGTTTCAATTTGATTGACTTAGTTGCCGAGGTCATTTGCATATAAGCTAGACTTGTTTTGAGTAGTGCATTCAATAGATTTTGCCATGTGTTGTAGGACTTGGACTTGCCTTGACCCCAATGTTTGAAGAACTAGGTGAGTGGTATTTTTGATAAAGCTATGTTATCAATGTTTTGATGAGCTTTGCTTTGCTTTGTTTTTGAAAGATGTTTGTTAAGCGTGAATGATTGTCCTTAGTTTTGTATCTCGTATTATATTTGCCTGAATGACCTTCTCGAAAAGTCCCTTGTGCTGGAGGACTCTAAACTTTCGCAGCACATCTTGGTTGAAAAGTCCCTTGTGCTAGAGGACTCTAAACTTTCGCAGCACCTCTCGTTTTGGAAGTCCCTTGTGCTGGAGGACTCTAAACTTTCGCAACACATCCTGTCTTGAAAGTCCCTTGTGCTGGAAGACTCTAAACTTTCGCAGCACTCTCGTGTTAAAAGGCTACGGGCCTTTGTAGCATAGGTCGCTTGTGCTAGAGAACTCTAAACTTTTGTAGCACCCTTGTTTGAGATGCCCTCTTGCTTTGTCTTGTTTTGCTACGGACGGTTTACCGCGTGGATACGTTTGTCGGAATGTTATTATTTGTAATATGTGATGCTAGTAAGTATCCCTTGAAGCTTTGAAGATCTATTAGATGGACGAGGTCCATTCCTTGTTATATATAAAGTTTTGTCTTGTATTGTTTTGAAAGGACTTCGGCTATTATTCATGCAAACCCCTCTATTATTTATACCATTCACTGAGTATCCAAGCTCACCCTCTCTATATATATGTAGGTGACGAACAAGAAGGCGGTGACCCCTAGATGTGATTCTGGAGCTTATTTTGGGTTTTTGATTATGTCGGCTTAACCTGTAATTACGTCAGCAGTCTTGAAAATTATGCTTCTCGATTTGTAATACTTGTACGTTGCATACGTCGGCTTGAGAAGCCTTCTGATCAAGATGTGTGTTTTGTATACATGTTATGTCGGCAATCTTGAAGATTTTGCTTCTAGCAGTATTTCATGTATTTTTGTTCATGTCGGCTTGTGAAGCCCTTTTGTTAATATGAAGGATGTAATTTGTACTTTGCTTTGTTTGTAATTGAGTTGTAACCCATATGCTGATGATTGCTATTTCATTTAACTTATGCACCGCTCTTATGGACTAATCTGTTTGTATAAATCGCTTCCGTACTTGTTAGCCCCATATAATTATACTCTGATGGTGTGTGGATTTAGGGAGTTGGCCTTGGTAATCTCGGATTACTGGCCATCACGGCACCAAACTACTAGGGGCGGTTTGGGGTCATGACAGGATAGCTTTGGGCTTGCACGAAGATGGGGCTGCTCGGCTAAAGCCCAAGACCGAGCTACTTGAACTTGCACAGGTGGGAACCGTGCTACTTGCGTTGCTCGGCAGGAAGGCTCACGCCTTTAGCTCGACAGGAAGGCCTTTGTTTTACCCGCGTAACCTATTTCGAGCTCAGCTCTGCCGAAATACAACTGAGCTCGGTCGGTATGGAGCTCGGCTACTGAGCTCGACAGGAAGGCTCGCGTCTTTAGCTTAGGAAGGCTCGCGCCTTTAGCTCGGTAGGACGGCCTTTGTTTTACCCGTGTGACCTATTTCGAGCTCGGCTCTGCCGAAATGCAACTAAGCTCGGTCGGTATGGAGCTCGGCTAGTGAGCATTCGGGTATGCGGCACAGCACGGCCGTGTGAGGCCGAGGTGATTCCGTCGGTCTGCCGGGCTCCGCCAAGATATCCTGACAGTTTGGTTAGGTGGTGATTGCTGGATTTGTGCTAACAGATGGGATAGCAGCACCACGTGTCGGGAGACTAATGGGAGTAGATTTGGGGCGCAGAAGATATATAAGCGTGTCTGCGCCCCCCATGCTGGACAGATGATCATTTGGTGAGATACACTTAGACATTCAACTCTCTCCTCTCTCTCTCTCTATCCCTGAGTGTGTGCTAACTTGACCGTCGGAGGGGTTTTCCGGCCACACACCGCCTGCTAGCTCACCACCGTTGTGTTCGCAGGTCGATCGGACAGACAGGGAGCTTGGAAGAAAGGAGTACGGGCTCGCCGAAATATTTGCTCCCCGTGCCGTCTGTGGGAACTTGATAGACAAAACCTTGTCTTCCCAGCTCATCTGATCGCCATCCATGGCGAACAACGAAGAAATTCCGTTGTCCGCCATCGATGGAGTTACCCCGGAGTCAGCCAGACAGAGAGAAGGACACCCCGGCATTCTCCGATGTAGGACTTGGAGAATTCTCCAGGAAGACATTCAAGAGACGCGCAGGATAAGCGTAGAAGAAGCTTTGGTCATTCTCGGAGTCCGGACGGTCACCGGCGGCGAAAAGAATCGCACGCCAGACATCTGGAACACAAGCTAAGGGACCAAGACGCCGTCATCCGGAGAATGGCGGCGGAGATGGAGGATCTTAAGCGGCATGTCAAAGGGAAGGGTGTAGTTGGAGTGGAAGACCACAGTGAGCGCACCCAACCTCGTCGTTCAGGCAGTCAGAGCCAGTGGCACACTCTATCCTCTCTCAATCACTAGAAGTTACAAGGTTGGAGAGTCCAACGTGCCGGAAAAGAGGTCTAGCATGCAAGACAGTACCTATCAGCCCTCACGTCTGGCGACGACGTCGAGGTTTTCCTATTCCACTTGCTTAGAGAACTTGCGGGCAGTCTTGAAGGAGCGGGCACGCCGACGAGAGACTCAGCGGATGCCGGCGCTCCAGCGACTATCTTACAGGGGTCATGCTAGTGAAAAAGTCGTAATCCCGCCACCCCGCCCAGCTGTGCCCCTCCTTCTAAACACAGATCTGGCGAGACTGAGTGCCACTCCCTTCTCCCTGGAGATAGAAACAATGCCGCTCCCCGCGGGCTTTCACCAGCCCAAGTTTACGTTCTACGACGGGAAGACCGATCCATACATGCATGTAAGCCACTTCCGACAGGTCATGGCGGAATGACGCTCTTATGTGCCTAATCTTCCCGTCAAGTTTGGGCGAGCTGGGCTTGAAATAGTTTGAGAGGCTGCCGGAGGGAAGTATCAAAAGGTGGCAGCAGTTGGCGAAAGCCTTTGTGATGCGTTTCAAAACCAACACCAGAACGCCAAAGGAAGTTGACCACCTTCTTAGTGTCAAGATGGAGCCGAGCGACACACTCAAAGCATACAACTCCAGATACTGGGAAACCTTCAATGAGATCTTGGCAATCACACAATATAAGCGTGGTCTCCCGGTCGGACATAGACTGCGGGACTCGCTTACCATGTACCAGCCGACATCCATGGGCCAACTAATGCAGCGCATCAACAAGTACATCCGAGTAGAAGATGATACGGCAGCATCTACCGCGAAGGCAACTTCGGTAGCAACAGACAAGAGGTCGGCTGGCAAGATGCACGTGGTCGGA